CAGAATTTTAGTAACTAGCGATTGATTAGGGAATTTAACAGGGTAAAATGATTATGGTCAGAAGAATATTAGAATTTTTGTTACTAAAAGTTGTAGCTGAATATAAACAATTTATATAAATTAACAATTAAATGCATACTTAGGTACCATCAATGTTTCTTTTGCTTCTGCCAGAATTTCAGTAACTGGCTATTGATTAGGGTTTTAAAGATGGTGAAATGAATTTAACGTATCAAGAAAATTTGTATTATGGAAAGTGGTAGCAGTCTATAAACAATTTGCTTATTTAACAAGTAAATGCATACTTTGGGTACCATCAATGTTTCTTTTCCTTCTGACAGAATTTCAGTAACTGGCTATTGATTAGGGAATTTAATAAGGTAAAATGATTTTGGTCAGAAGATTATTAGAATTTTCGTTACTAGAAGTAGTAGCCGTATATAAACAATTTACATATGTGAACAATTAAGTGCATATTTTGAGTACCATCAATGTTTCTTTTGCTTCTGTCAGAATTTCAGTAACTGGCAATTTATTAGGGTTTTAAACAGGGTGAAATAAATTTAACGTATTAAGAAAATTTGTTTCATAGAAAGTGGTAACAGTCTATAAACAATTTACATATGTCAACAATTAAATGCATACTCTGAGTACCATCAATGTTTCTTTTGCTTCTGTCAGAATTTTATTAACTAGCGATTGATTAGGGAATTTAACAAGGTAAAATGATTATTGCAGAAAATTATTAGAATTTTTGTTACTAAAAGTAGTAGCTTAATATAAACAATTTATATAAGACAACAATTAAATGCATACTTTGGGGAACATCAATGTTTCTTTTGCTTCTGTCAGAATTTTATTAACTAGCGATTGATTAGGGAATTTAACAAGGTAAAATGATTATTGTCAGAAGATTATTAGAATTTTTGTTACTAAAAGTAGTAGCTTAATATAAACAATTTATATAAATTAACAATTAAATGCATACTTTGGGTATCATCAATGTTTCTTTTGCTTCTATCAGAATGTTATTAACTAGCGATTGATTTAGGTATTAAACAGGGTGAAATGAATATGATAAGAAAATTATTAGAATTTTTGTTACTGAAAGTAGTAACCGAAGATAAACAATTTTTATAAGTCAACCATTAAATGCATACTTTGAGTACCATAATGTTTTATTTCCTTCTATCAGAATTTTGGTAACTAGCGAATATTCAATTATTCAATAGTATGTAAAAATAAAAAGGAATATAACGTATTAAGAAAATTTTGTCTTATGGAAAGTGGTAGCTGTCTATAAACAATTTGCTAATTCAAGAAGTAAATGCATACTTTGGGTACCATCAATGGTTCTTTTGCTTCTATCAGAATTTTATTAACTAGCGATTGATTTGGGTACTAAACAGTGTGAAATGAGTATGGTAAAAAAATTATTAAAATTATTGTTACTGCAAGTAGTAACCGAAAATAAACAATTTTTATAAGTCAACCATTAAATGCATACTTTTAGTACCATAATGTTTCATTTCCTTCTATCAGAATTTTGGTAACTAGCGATTATTAAATTAATTAACAGTAAGTAATAATGAGGAGGATTATAACGTATTAAGAAAAATTTTCTCATAGAAAGTGGTAGCAGTCTATAAACAATTTGCTTATTCAACAAGTAAATGCATACTTTAAGTACCATCAATTTTTATTTTGCTTCTGTCAGAATTTCAGTAACTGGCTATTGATTAGGGTTTTAAACAGGGTGAAATGAATTTAACGTATTAAGAAAATTTGTTTCATGGAAAGTGGTAGCAGTCTATAAACAATTTGCATATTCAAGAAGTAAATGCATACTTTGGGTTCCATCAATGTTTCTTTTGCTTCTGCCAGAATTTCAGTAACTGGCTATTGATTAGGGTTTTAAAGATGGTGAAATGAATTTAACGTATCAAGAAAATTTGTATTATGGAAAGTGGTAGCAGTCTATAAACAATTTGCTTATTTAACAAGTAAATGCATACTTTGGGTACCATCAATGTTTGTTTTCCTTCTGTCAGAATTTCAGTAACTGGCTATTGATTAGAATATTAAACAGGGTGAAATGAATATGATAAGAAAATTATTAGAATTTCTGTAACTGAAAGTAGTAACCGTATATAAACAATTTACATATATCAACAATTAAATGCATACTTTGAGTACCATCATGTATCATTTCCTTCTATCAGAATTTTGGTAACTAGTGATTATTAAATTAATTAACATTAAGTAATAATGAGAAGGATTATAACGTATTAAGAAAATTTTTCTCATGGAAAGTGGTAGCAGTCTATAAACAATTTCCTTATTCAACAAGTAAATGCATACTTTGGGTACCATCAATGGTTCTTTTGCTTCTATCAGAATTTTATTAACTAGCGATTGATTTGGGTATTAAACAGGGTAAAATGAATTTAACGTATTAAGAAAATTTGTTTCATGGAAAGTGGTAGCAGTCTATAAACAATTTGCTTATTCAAGAAGTAAATGCATACTTTGGGTACCATTGTTATGAATTTAAGCGGTTTATCATAAAAGACTTGTGAAAAAAGGAGAATAAGATAGTTAAAGTAAAATTAACACTGAATTTATTAACTTATTTGAGATAAAACAGGTAAAGCGATTTTTACAGAGCGGTTCTACATGATGCGTACGAAAGACAATCAGAATATATATTATGCGCAGATACCACTGCATACGACGCACACAAGTTGTCCCTCTGCGGGCAAACTAAGGAATCATCCTTGATTTAAAAAAAACTGCGAAATAAAATTTAAAATAAAAGTAAATTAAATGCGATGAAATCGTAAACATACCGCCCACCTTGCGAGCTTATTTTTAAGATTGCAATGGTCACAATAGAACAATAGGTACGAACTTAAAACTAATTGTCGAAATTACAAGGATACGTATTAGGTTACGAATATTATGAATAGTTGCACGGTAATCGAATTAATTGTGTGATTGGACGAGTAAATTCAGACGCACTCGTCTTTACTTGAACTACTCTAACGTGACCGTCTTGACCGGGAATACATTTATTGACACGTCCTAATTCCCATTTAGCGGGAGGGAGATTAGGATTTCGTAGTAAAACAACATCGTTAATTTTCAAATTAACTCGCTCAGACAACCACTTTGTTCGCTGTTGCAGTGACTGTAAATAATCTCTGGACCATGAGCGCCAAAACTGTTCTAAGACACGTTGATAAAACTGCCAACGCGACAAGTGGTTCTCAGGTAGATCCAGAACAGACATCGCAGGTACAGTTTTTAACGCAGATCCGATTAAAAAATGTCCAGGAGTTAATGCTTCTCAACTCTCTGGATCTTCGTTTAGTTGATCAACTAGACGTAGACTGCGCGCGCCTTTTAAGTTGATATTTCGTGCTTGACCAGAAATAAGTAAAGAATATTCATATTGCAAATGTCAAAATGTGTTATGATTGAAAATTAGTCAAAGTTCATTTTCTAGAAAGGACATAGAACCATCTAGAAACTTAATGAAACAGTCTAGAAACTTAATGAAAAATTTTAGAATCTTCATAGAACGTTCTAGTAAATTTATAAAAACTTATAGAAATGCCGTAGAATTTTCTAGAAATTTCTTGAAATTTTTGAGAAACTTTGTGGAACATTATATTCACAATACCTTGTACTATCTTCATGGAATTATCTATATACTTTATGGAACCTTCTAGAAACCTCATAAAACTTTTTAGGGTTTATTCATGAAACCATTTAGAGTCTTTATGAAACTTTCTTAAAACTTAACTGAACTGTCTAGAAACTTTCTAGAATTTTCAAGAAACTTAATGAAACTTTTTAGAGTTTTCATAAAACTTTCTAGAAACTTAATGAAACTTCGTAGAAACTTCATGAAGCCTTCTAGAATTTTTGTGGAATTTTCTAGAAACGTCGTGGAATTTAAAAAAAATTTAATGAAACTTTTTAATGCCTTCATGGAACTTCATAGAAACTTAATGAAACCTTCTAGAATCTTTACAGAACTTTCTAGACAATTCATGGAACTTTTCATTCATGAAACCTTGTATAGTCTTTATGAAACTTTCTAGAACGTTTTATGAAGCCTTTTAGAAATTTCATAAAACCTTCTACAATGTGCATGGAACTTTATAGTAACTTCATGAAAACTTCTAAAATATTCACGGAAATTTCTAGAAACTTCATGGAACTTTCTATTCATAGAACTTTTCAGAGTTTTCATGAAACTTCCTAAAAACTTCATGGAACTTTTCAGAAACTTCATAAAACCTTTAAGAATTTTTTCAAATGACAATACGTTCAAATAAGAATTCAAACAAATAAAAATTCGGTGAAATGGAAATTCTGTCTTACAAACATTCGTCTAAATAAATATTCTGTTTAATAGAAATTCGAGTTAATAAAAATTCGGACAAATGCAAATTCGATCAAATAGAAATTCTTTAAATAAAATTTCGACTAAATAAAAGTTCTGCAATGCTAAAAATTGATTAAATTAAAATTCTGCTAAATTATAATTCTAAGAAATAAAACATACGCTAAAAGTAAATTCTTCCTATTAAAATTCTACCTAATAAAAATTCATTTAAATGAATATTCTGTTTAATGAACATTCAAAAAGATGAAAATTCTGACACATAAAAAATCGATGAAATGGAAATTCTGTTAAATGAATATTTGGTTAAGTAATAATTTTATAATGTGAAAAAACGATGAAATAGAAATTCTGTGAAATAATAATGATAAAATAATACTTTAAAAGAAAAAGTGTTTTCCTATTCTCCTATAGAACGTATACTTAAACTTTCCATGTGTCGATAAAAAAGATCGTTCCTAAATTTCAAATTATCCTCTGAACGTGCTTTCATGATAAACACTCAGAAAACAGAACGTGGATAAATAGAAAAAAAAAGAATGTGTCTCACTTTAACGCGACGATGAAAGGGAGAAAAGAATCAGGTTCAAGATCCGACCAATGGGATACGCGTTACGTTACTCTTTAGAGATTTCTTATTAAGGATAGGTCGAGAATTTAAGCAGCATTCGATTTGACAAAGTAAAGTCGTTAATTCTTCGGAAGTCGGAGTAGCGTTTGACAATAATCTACGCAAATGAAATTTTACATTTTTTACGCCAGCTTCCCACAGACCTCCAAAATGCGGCGCAGACGGAGGCATGAAGTGACACGTGATTCCGTCTGAGGCCATGTGAGAAGCAATCGTCGGATCTTTCATAATGAGCTTAAATGTATGTGACAATTCGCGATGAGCACCGCGAAAATTTGTGCCATTGTCACTATAAATATCTGTTGACAAACCCCGACGTGAGGTAAAGCGTCTCAAAGCTGCGAGAAAAGCAGCTGACGTATAATCGTCAACAAGCTCCAAATGTATGGCTTTAACAGAAAAACAAACAAAAACAGCGATCCAAGCCTTATGTGACTTGGCTTCGCGACCCGAACTAGAGCGGACCAAAAATGGACCCGCGTAATCAATTCCGGTATGAGAGAAAGGACGAGAAGGAGATATTCTAGCACTAGGTAAATCTCCCATAAGTTGGTTTTCAACACGCGCCTTGTCTCTCACGCAAGTGACACATTTCCTGATAATTCCTTTAATGAAATTTCGCGCACCAATAATCCAATATTGAGTGCGAGCTATATAAAGAGTCAACTGAACTCCTCCGTGTAATAAATTTTTGTGCAATTGTGTCAAAATTAAAAAGGAAATCGGATGATTAGGTAGAATAGCTGGTGGGTTTTGGTAAGTCAATAACTTGGACTGGCGTAGTCGTCCGCCCAATCTAAGGATACCATTGTCTTCGAGAAAGGGTGAGAACTTTTGTATGCGAGAACTTGAAGGAATTGGTTTTCCTTCCTTAAGACACTGAATTTCGTGAGCAAAAGAATTTTCTTGAATGTATTTAACCCAAAATAAAGCGGCATTGTTGATTTCGGTAGCCGTCACTTGATTCGAAAACAAAATTTGGCGTTTAAAGGCTTGAATAGCTCGTAAAATGTGAGCAGTCACACGCAATAAATGTGCCCAAGATGAATAGTGAGACATCAGTTGTGATTGCCAATCAGGTTCGAGGTTATTGTTGATCAGATGAGAAACTATACGAGACTCTTCGGTAGTTTCCAGACCACAATTTCGTCGAGGCCATGTCTCCGGTGAATCTCGCAGCCAAGTGGGACCCTCCCACCAAAGGGAAAAGGTTGACAAGTCCTCCGCTGAGAGGCCACGTGAGGCACAATCCGCGGGATTTTGCTTGGAAGGAAACATGATTCCACGTAGCTGCAGGCAACTCCGTTAAAATACGTGACACACGATTTGCAACGAAAGTAGTCCAGGAAGTTGGTTGCTTCTGAAGCCAACTGGGAACAATTGTAGATTCTGTCCAGCAAAAAACTTGAGAATTCATTAAACCGAGAGAATCAATAACAAAATGAATTAATTTAGACAAAAGGCTTGCGGCACATAATTCGAGTCGTGGGATGCTGAAAGATTTGACAAGGCCGACAATGAAGATCGAAATTGATCCCAATCTTTAAGCAAGTCCAAGGAAAGAGAATCGTCCCAGTCTAGCTTTCGAAGCCAGAGTTTTTGCAAAAGAATTTTTGCAATAATTGTCACAGGCGAAATCCAACCCATTGGGTCGAATATTTTGGCCGTAGCCGAGAGTATTGATCTTTTTGTTGCAGGTTCTTCAGGAATTTCACAAGTTTTGAAGTGAAATGCATCATCTGACAGTTTCCAAAAAATTCCGAGGACTTTGAAACCTGAAGAATCGTCAAAAGGGATCTCAACTGCTAAACCATGATCAGCAGAATCCAATCCGTCTAGTAAATCAGGAGAATTACTAAACCATTTCCGTAATGGGAATCCCCCAGCATTTGTCATATTAATGACTTGATCTCTCACCTTGGGTGTGGAGGTTTTATCCGATCCTCCAAGAAAAACGTCATCAACGTAGGTTTGCTCCAAAAGCACGGAAACAGCTAAAGGAAAATTGTCCTTTTCGTCATGTGCCAACTGTCTCATTACGCGAATGGCAAGATATGGCGAAGACGCCATTCCGTAGGTAACAGTATTTAATTCAAACACCTGGATCGGACCCTTAGGAGCTTCTCACCACAAAATACATTGATAATTTCGATGGGCAAGATCGATGAGAATCTGGCGAAACATATTAGCAATATCAGCACACAACACGAATTCAAATTGACGCCATCGTAAAATGATGGAGAAAATATCTGTTTGTAATTTTGGACCGATGTGTAAAATGTCATTAATCGAGATTTTGTTGGACGTTGGACTCGAAGCATTAAATACGACTCTAACTTTCGTTGTTTGGCTACTTTCGCAAACGACAGGGTGGTGCGGAATAAAGACACGAGATGTATCAGTCCCATCTCTTGATACTTTCCTAGAAAATCACGATAATTTTCAGCAAGCAGAGGATCACGAGTAAAACTTTTTTCTATTCTACACAACGAATTGAGAGCTATGTTATAAGAGTCACCTAATTTCGAGGGGGAATCATCAAAAGGTAATTGAACTACATATTTTCCATTTAAGTCTCTCGAATGTGTCTCCTTAAAATGATGCTCACATTCAATTTCTTTTTTTGTCATTAAATTCACTGCTGGTATCTTTTCCAATTTCCAAAATTGACGCAGGCTTTCTTCAACTCGGGTTTCCATGGAAAAGTGGACATTAATGTGATAACTTTGAAGAGGAGATCCTTGTAGTGGTCCTGATAAGATCCAGCCAAATATAGTTGACTGAGCAACGAGATCTCCACGTGGTCCAGGACAAATCTCAGGTTTGAGCACCTGAGCGTACAGATCGGCTCCAATCAGCAAATCGATCCGGTCACTTTTCCATGGATTTGGATCGGCAAGTTCGAGACTTCGAAGATTTTCAGGAATTTCTAAAAGGGTAAATTCCGCTGGAACATATGCAGTGATTTTTGGAAGTACGAATGCTTGAGTTTGGAGCGTGGTTGAACAAGGTTTAGTCGTTTTAATAGTGATAGGAACGGAATGAAGGATTTTATTCGTACAACTTCCTCCCAAACCGGACACTGTAACATTCGTATTTTTGCGTGGAAGACGTAATAATTGAGCAATTGATTCGGACAAAAACGTAGCTTCTGACCCTTGGTCAAGAAGAGCGCGGACAGGAACGCGGCGGCCATCACTCGAGCGGTTGCCAACAGAACAGCAGTGCGGTATTTTTTAGACGAGTTCAAATGCGATGAAATCGCCACATCATCAGACACTTGATTTGATTCTGAAACGCTATGATCAGTTTTTAATTCGCGACTTTGTGACAAATTTTTATTATCGCGATGCAATAAAGAATGATGAGGCTTTTTACAAATATTACAAAATTTTCGGCTCTGACAGAAATTGCGATTATGCTTACCTAAACAGTTGAAGCATCGTGAATTAGCCTTTAAATATTCAAAACGTTCATCAATTGTTTTTTCTTTAAATACAGAACAAGCATAGAGGTTATGTTCTCCGTTACACATTGGACATACAAACTTTGTTGAGTTTTGATGCGTGTGTACCTTCTTGAGTACCGACTGCGAATGATTTGAATTTTTACTTTCAGGACGCTTTTTAATATCTACGGTAGCTTCTAAAGCGCTAATTCGAGAATCAAGAAATTTAACAAATTGATCGAGAGAGGGAGGATCTGTCTCTTCACTAATTGACAATTCCCACTGATCACGAGAAATTTTATCTAACTTGTTTATTAACATAAAAACTAACAAATCATTCCCCTCATCGATAGGACGTTTTAGACTTTTTAAAGCAGATGTCGCAGTAATAACAACGTTATGCATAGTTTTTAAATTATTCAACCAATCTGATGTGACAGGTGGCAATTCAACAATCTTTTTTAAATATTCATATATTAAAACTTTAGAATTACTATAACGAGTTTCGAGATTTTCCCAAATATTCTGAAAATTGCCATCTGTCCCTGGTTGATTTTGAGCAACTATTAATGCCTCACCTTTAAGAGATGATTTGAGATAATGAAGACGCTCTGCATCCGACAAGCGATCGTAGTCAATTACAAGAGATTTAAACAGATCTCTAAAGGTGAGCCACTCACAATACGAACCTGAGAAAGTGGGTATAGTAATGCGAGGAAGTTTTACAGATGATGATGCTCTTCGTGGCGTTGCATCTGGATCTGGTGGTTGAGGACGGTCTTGTACCAGCATGGGCGGTGGCTCTGGAAGACTGCTAAGTATGTGGTCTATGGCCTCCTCATACAAGTCCTCAATCTGATTAAACTCATCAGAATTAAAAATTGCAATTGTTGGCTCTCCTCCTTCGGCTTGATCAGGAGGATCTATTATTGGAGGATTTGCAAGTAAATCGGCATGATTTTGTCGACACCTCAGCCAGAAATCTTGTAAATTTGTTAGGCGTCCTAACAACAGTTGTCGAGGTGGATTTTCGTAATTTAAAACACGATTAACAATCTTTTTGATAGAGTTAAATAGAGTTTCTTGGTCACTTAACACTCGTTCATAACTAGTCGTGGCCATGTTTGTTACAGAAAAAATGGCCGACCACGCTACGTAAAATATAGTGAAAAATGTTTCATGAAAAAAGGTTTTCGATACTGAGAAAAAAGGTAAAATAGCACCAAAATATTGCGGAAAAAACACAATAAAGTCTTAAAAAAAAGTACTTTTTGACTATTCAAGTCACTTGAGAAAAAAAAAATGCAATATATAAAGGAAAAATCCCTTAAGCGTCACTTAACACAAAGCACTGATTTCACTTTCTTTCTTCCTTTTTGGGAATCCGGCTCGAAGGACAATGTTATGAATTTAAGCGCTTTAACATAAAAGACTTGTGAAAAAAGGAAAATAAGATAGTTAAAGTAAAATTAACACTGAATTTATTAATTTATTTGAAATAAAACAGGTAAAGCGATTTTTACAGAGCGGTTGTAAATGATGCGTACGAAAGACAAACAGAATATATATTATGCTCAGATACCACTGCATACGACGCACACAAGTTGTCCCTCTGTGGGCAAACTAAGGAATCATCCTTGATTTAAAAAAAACCGCGAAATAAAATTTAAAATAAAAGTAAATGAAATGCCATGAAATCGTAAACAACAATCAATGTTCCTTTTGTTTCTGTCAGAATTTCAGTAACTGGCTAATGATTAGGATTTTAAAAAGGGTGAAATGAATTCAACGTATTAAGAAAATTTGTTTCATGGAAAGTGGTAGCAGTCTATAAACAATTTGCTTATTCAACAAGTAAATGCATATTTTGGGTACCATCAATGGTTTTTTGCTTCTATCAGAATTTTATTAACTAGCGATTGATAAGGGAATTAAACAGGGTACAATAAATATAGTCAGAAGATTAATAGAATTTTTATTACTGAAAATTGTAGCAGTCTATAAACAATTTGCTTATTCAACAAATAAATACATACTTTGGGTACCACCATTGTCTCATTTGCTTCTATCAGAGTTTTACGAACTATCAATTAATAAATGAAATATACAAAGTAAAATGAATATGGTCTGAAGATTATTAGAACTTTTGTTACTGAAAGTAGTAGACGAATATAAACAATTTACATAAGTCAACCATTAAATGCATACTTTGAGTACCATCAATGTCACTTTTGCTTCTATCAGAATTTTAGTAACTCGCGCTTAATTAGGAAATTAAACAGGTAAAATGAATATGGTCAGAAGATTATTAGAACTTTTGTTACTAAAAGTAGTAGCCGAATATAAACAATATATATAAGTCATCCATTAAATGCATACACTACCGTCCGAAATTGTGCGAACTCTGCTTTTTCAACAACTATAAAATTGTTCAAATCTTCAAAAATATTAAAACTAAAATTTTTTCCTCTTTATTTTATTAATGCTAATAAAATTCTAAAAGAAATGACACCTTGACAAAGAGAATATGTTAATTTTTCAATTAGATATCTAAGAAAAACCCAATTTTCAATGTTTTTACTATTTTTTTTATTTCTCTGGCAAAAATTAATATTTTTAAACGTTCTTAGGCTCATTGAAATCGTATTTTGTTATGCAATTCAAATTATATAAAACAATTCATGTACACATTCTTCTTTAGCGTATGCAAACCGTGAAAGTTGGCTCATAAAATGTCAAAAAATTTAAATTTAATTATACAATAAAATATAATGTTTTAAAATCAAGTAAATATATCATTCTAAACTTCTCTGATTTATGTAAATAAATT